TGCCACATCAGTCACTAATGACATGAGCCAAATGCAACTGGAGTTCTGTAAGTAGTGTCACACAAATGGCTTAGTGTTGACTCCTTCAGCTTTCTTGGCACTAGCAGGCAAGCAGTGACATCGCTGAGTGATGTGCTGCTCCTCCATGTAGTGTTAATGCTCCTTTCAGGCATTGTAGGTTTTTCGTTATATGAAATGATTAACAGATGTCCAAGTGGGGGTTTCACAAGAGCATGGCAGTATATTTTTTCTACCAAGTGGGTATAGGAGTCTTTGCTGGAGGGTCTTAAAACAGTTTTTGATTCCAGCTTCAGTAGGTATGTAATATAAAACTTGTAGAAATTGCCATTTCTAGAACATATAACTTAGAATTTGCATCTTTTATATTGTGCGTAATGCTAAGTAACAAATGTTTGGTAATGTAGTTGTGCTGCTCAATCTTTCCAGGTCAAAGAGTATTTGAAGAAAGAATTTGAAAGGCATGGCTATTCCCCCAATGACACCCAACATGAAGTGATGGTTGAAGATATTTTCAAGAAGGAAGATGAAGATAGTGATGGATACATATCTGCTAGAGAATTTACATACAAGCATGATGAGTTGTAGAAAAAGAGAAAATATTTGAAAGCTTACCTTTTGTGATATAGCATCTGTAAAAACAAGTTGGGTATTGGCTATTAGGAAAACATTTTTGAATATTTCAATGTTTTTAAATTTAATGACATCACATTGTAGTTTAAATATGAAAGACGTTTTTGTTGTGTCATACTTGTTTGTTACCTAAAAAGGTCTTTTTATGTATATAACAGCCATTTTATAATGGAAAATTTCCAAAGCATGTTACATTGTTTCTGTGGGGAAAATAGGAAACATGCAAGATGTATCTAATGTAAAACACAAAAATCATAAAGAGTGCTGTTGTTGCATAATGTTCTGTGTCTTGCCAAATGTTTGAAATTTCAGACCTCCAGCACCTCCAAGATGGTACTATGCCCTTTGAGTGGGCAATTTCAGACCTTCGTTTTAAAAGTGATGTAATAGTGATATGTTCCTTAAAGGCTATACAAATACTGTACAACTGGCTGTCTGCCAAATATTATTTTAAAATAACTAAAATCTTAATCGTATGTGTATTGTTGTACATTTACATAGTATTCATGGTTTCTGTTTTTCTACATAAATGCAAATTCCAGCACTTATCTATATTGGAACAACACATGCTTTAGGTATGTGTTTTGAATTTCATCCAAATATTTTTTAACACCAGTTCCTGTTTCTACAGTGTTTGCAAATCCCTTTAATATATCATCTACGAACTTCACTAGTTTGCAGTGGCCCTAGTATAGATCCTAGTGGTATTCCACTGATAAGATCACCCCAATTTGACCATTCACTCCTTTACTGTACTCTGATTTATATTCAATTCAACTTTATTGTCATTAAACTTACACAGGTGCATAGTATAATGAAAAGTGTTTCTCATTAGTCACTCAGGTGCAGTATATACTGTAAATAGGACAGAAGATAAGACAATAGTAACACAATAGCAATAACAGTAACGTAATAACATTAGATAAATAACATGTAATCAAGTAATCAAAACTGTGCAAAATTCC